TAAAGGCTAGAGTTTAGTTAATATCAATGTGTTTATGTTAGTTTCTTAGTTTTGACAAATATGCCACAGTTATGTAAGATGTTAACATTCGGGGAAGCTGGGTGAAAGGTATATACAAACTATCTTTGCAACTTTCCTGTAAATATAAAATTATTCCAAAATTTGAAATTTATTTATTTTTTAAAAATGCAGTTGATCCCAAATTTGTAAAAATGTGTGTATGAACACACAAGTGCAGAAAATTGTTATGGTGAAGACGAGGTGGAGTTTTAGTCTTTTTTTTTCTTTTCTGTATTTTCTAATTTATCTGTAATGGGTATGTATCAATTCTGTAGAAAGACAAAATTAAAGTTGTTTTGTTAAGACTCATCTCCACCAACAAGCCACAGGCATCCCTCACCGGGCACCTGCCCAGAGGTGACCTTCACACTTTCCAGGAACTGGGGCAGAGCTCAGGGCCCTCAGTGGGAGAACTCAGCAGGATCCTGACAAGGGAGGCACCATTCCCTGAGAGCGCTCAGGGGCTAGAAACTCTACTGTCTCACAGAGCTGTTTCGTAGAACTCCGTTCATGCTCCCCTGAGGGGCTTTGCAGAGGGAGTGGATTTGGGCTTCTAGCCATAATCCTACAAGACAAAGAAGAGGATTTTTTTCTGCCTGGGATGGAGACTGTGGCCCTTGGGAAAGAGGGCGCAGCATGGGGTAGGGGTGAGGTGGGAGAGAGGGTTCAGGCTCTCCCAGGCCAGACAGACATGTATATCTGTTTTAGCAAAGTCTTTATGTGAAAATTCAGATTTACCAAAGGGATAACTCACCCTGGAATCCTTTTTTTTTTTGTGGAGGAAGATTAGCCCTGAGCTAACTGCTGCCAATCCTCCTCTTTTTGCTGAAGAAGACTGGCCCTGAGCTAACGTCTGTGCCCATCTTCCTATACTTTCTATGTGGGACGCCTACCACAGCATGGCGTGCCAAGCGGTGCCATGTCTGCACCCGGTATCTGAACCAGCAAACCCCGGGCTGCCGTAGCGGAACGTGCACACTTAACTGCTGCGCCACTGGACCAGCCCCCTGGAATCCTTGGATGAGGAATTTTTCTCACTGTAGAAACACAACTGTTCAGTAAAGTGGGTGAGCCCTGAGCCTCTGGCATGCCAGTCCCGGATTAGCAGAGATGGCCATACGGTCATTTCCCTGGTGACATCTACTCCTGTCTCTACATCCCTGGCTCCCTGAGGTGCCCCAAGGAGACCTTCCCACCTTTGTCCTCTGCTTCAGGCAGATGTGAGCGGGGGGTTTGGCCAGTGGGTCTCCAGGGATTTAGCTGGAGGGAGAACAGGAGCCTAGAACATTTATTTTAATAAAACTTCCTCAGGTTTGCAGGGAGCTGGAACCAGAGACTTCTCGGGGAGACATGGATAGTCATATTTGAGAAACTAAAAATGTTTTACGTCATTCTGTTCTCTCCCCCGCAGTTCATCTTGGCAAGCCAAACAATCACTGAATTGTTTCCGTGGAAACACCAAACTGCAGTTTGGATTAGCAGAATCAAAATAGAAACAAGACAGCTTCAAGAATAAATAGGAGCTTTGGAACCTGCTAGGCGCAAACTGCAAATTCAAGCCCTTGCACAAGGCATGTGCGAAGTTGGGCCGTGCAGCCCCATAAGGAGAGATTTCTAGGTCCCCTGGCTGCATCCCTCTGGTGTCAGTGCCAGAGCCCTAGGAACCAGCTATGTATACAGACTGGTAGGCTGACTTTGTAACAATACTTAAGGCAGAAGTTCATCTGTAGAAGCTCCTTGGAGAGAGGATTGGGGCTGGAGGGGAAGACTGAGGAAGAAGGGACCGGAAAAAGGAGATGAGTGAATGGCTGAGTGAAGATCCAGCAAGGACTAGAGAGCCACAGGCGAGGCCTGAGATCAGAGCAACAATCCTATCAAAAGGACAATTCGAAGTTGGCCATGGGTTGGGAATGGTAATCCTGCCTTCAGCTCTGTCCACAGTTGCAGTGTTCCCCACATTCCTGGGTATGGCTATCTAGCCACACGGGTCTAGACAAGAGTCTGAACTCTTGCCAGGTGCACTCTTGGGGCACTTCTGGTTAGTATGCCTCTGCCCCGTATGACTCCAGCCAGCACAATAGGGCACTAAGGCCCAGCTTCTCATCTCTGGCTCTCAGGGTTCCCCTTCCCCTGCCTCTTATTCCCCTCACTAGGGGAAGAGGGAAGCCACCTTCTGACCTACCTGCCCTGGCCCCTTGGCATTCTCCTGGATCCTCCACTTCCAATCCCAGAGAAGACTCCAAGGGGATCAGGAAGAAGGAGACAGACAACCCAGGAGCCTGTGCTCCTCACCTTTACACCCAGGAATGTGCCAATAGGGCAGCAGCACCATCCTGCCACTGGAGAAGTTGTAAACTGCTAATGTTCAAAGAAACTGGTGAAAAGGATTTGCAAAAGAAGCCTAATTCAGGCCAATCTCCCTCCTCCTGAATGGCCAGGCCAGGGCTCACCTGGGACCAGAGTGGTACCTCCTCTAACTGAGGCACAAGACGTTTAACATGCCTGTGAAGACCAGTGAATGAGGCATACCAACAAAGGAGGCCACTGTACCTGATTGTAGACAATTACTGAAAAGGTTCTCATCCTGAGTCTATCTGAGGCTCTGGCAATTTACTTTCTCCCTGGAGTATGTGGGAGAACATTAATTTAATTTTACGTTCCAGCTAAATATTTATAGAAGGAACAAAGTTTTACTCAGGAAATCTACTTGACAATGGGTCCCAGCTGTAGTGGGAAAGGCATCTCTGTGCTAGGCCAGCTGGAAAATGCCTGATTTAATGAAGAGTTTTGGCCTAAGGCCTGGCTTGAAAAAATTTTCAAACCTGCTCAACCCTTACAGGAAGTAACTATCTTTTTGAGGGCAGAAAGGCTGCTGTTTTCTGGGCACTTTGAGTGGAGAGGGGTTGCTGGGAGCTGGCCTGGGAGAGAGAAGTGGGCATCTTGCAGGAGACCCCACATCAGGAGCCCTTTGCAGCTTCTGAGACAAAACATGAAAAAGAGAAGTTGTAAAGGAATGCTAGAGAGACCAGACTTTCAGGACAGGGCTGCAAGGAGCTGTTTGAATGAAAAGCAAGCAATCTCTGCCCTCAATAAGTATTTATCAAGTGTCTACTAGAGTGTCAGACACTCTCTTGGGTGCTGAGGATACAGCAGGGACAAGGCAGATGCTGCTCTTGCTTCTGGAGTTTATATTCCACATGGCAAGGCTGGTAAAACACAAGTATATGCATTAGTACATCATTTCAGATGGAGTTGTATGAGAAAAAATAGGGTAAGGGGATGGACAGTGAGTAGGGAGAGTTCCTTCAGAAGAGGAGAGGTCAGGAAAAGGCCTCTATAGGTGACAAACTGATACTCGAATGTCAGGACAATTAGGTGCTGCAGCTGACTTGATTTCCATCCTCAGACAGCTGGAATTGTATCAGAGGGAGGAGCCCCTAGGTGGTTCTCTGGGCCCTAGGCCAATAAACCTCCCACATCCACCCTGTGTAGCCACATCTCTATCAGCATCTGAAGAGCCAAAAACATTGCACACTCCAGGGATGTGCCTGGGCTATGTCACGCTCATCAAATCTGGCAGGAACACAGTAGTTAAAAAAATAATAAAAAATTAAAAGCCTTAGGAATAAAATAAGAAACAGAATATCCTTTCCTGATGATTGCCAGAGACAGGCAGTGTAATTTTAATTAACCCAGCCTGGTTAGGAGATAAATTTACTGCTCATTCTACAAAAACACCCAGTTCATGGAACACTGAGTCACTCTGACCTTTGACTTCATTACACAAAATGAAATACTTCTAAAGAAATACAGGATTTCATAACTCACAGAAGAACAGAGGGTCCTGCTTTGGCATTCCAAAGTCGAACAGACCCTTCAATGAGAAGGCCACAGTCATAAATACTAATGGAGTTCTCTCAACAGGGTCTCAACTTTGAATTAAAATTATTAAACTTTTCAACTTAGGGTAGTAAAAGATTTCCAGATACAGACTCCTCTCGTCTACAAGCCTTATTCTAACCTCTCGACAGCTACTTGTAGTCAGTATGGGAAGGGCTGAAAGGAACCTTTTGCATGGCTGGGCTCCTTCCTCCTGTGCCTTCCTTGCACAAGCAGAGAACACCAGGAGGCAAGGCAGTGAAGGCTGGGTGTACAGACATCCAGTGAGGCCCACAGGGAGAGAAGAGGCCAGGGCAGCCTGAGGCAGAGCCCAAGTGTGTACTTGTCCTTGGCCTCAGAGAAAGCTGCTGCCATTCCCTGTGGCTCCCAGCTACAGGTCACAGGAGGCCCTTAGTCTGGAAATGAGAGTGAGAGCTTAGGCTGGTGCCTGGTACCCTTGCCAAAGGTGTCCCAGGCAAATTAAACTCCCCCAGACTTTGGTGGGATACACACCCCTGAAAATAAAATAAAAATAAGAAATCAACCATTGCTTTCACTCAGAGGCCCCAATGTCATTTACTGTACTGGTTTGAAAATGGGGAAATTCTGGAAACTGTCCATCTCATGAGAATTTTTACTGTCATAGAATAAAGAAAAAGAAAAACAAGTTTGCGTAGGGTGGTGTTTATTCAAAATCATCTTGTGAGAAGCCTGGGGAATAAAAACATGGTATGCATCTTATCTATTTGATTTCCTTAAGTAAACTGACGGGAGATCAGTTCAATAAACTTAATGAAAGAAAAAAATGTATGTTTTTAAAAGTTTTATCTTTATTTTTTGATTATTTTGTATTACAAAAGAAATATAGATGTGTTGCAAAAATTCAAAAACTTCAGCAAGGGGCCAGCCCGGTGGCACAGCGGTTAAGTTCGCATGTTCCACTTCGGTGGCCCAGGGTTCACCAGTTTGGATCCTGGGTGTGGACATGGCACTGCTCATCAAGCCATGCTGTGGCAGGCGTCCCATATATAAAGTAGAGGAAGATGGGCACGGATGTTAGCTCAGGGCCAGTCTTCCTCAGCAAAAAGAGGAGGATTGGCAGCAGATGTTAGCTCAGGGCTAATCTTCCTCAAAAAAAAAAAAGTTAAAAAAAATCTTCAGATTTTTATATAAATGGAAAGATATAAATGGAAAGCCAAAGTCTCATATAAGACCATTGCCCTCTTCAGAAATAACATAGGGCCTACAGATGCTCTCATTAGCTTTAAAAAAGTGGTTGAAAAACAGGATGGGGGAAAAATAGCCAGAAAGAAGAGTGGAATTGTGTGGCTTGTGAACAGTAGTGCTCTGGGCATTTGTTTGGTGCATGTTACCTCTCTTTAATTGGTTGCTTTAACACTATTTTTCTGTTCACAAGAAGACTGACTTAGTGTGTCCTGTAACATGTCCACTGACCAAAAAATAGAAACACTCTGGCAGCAAAACTGAATAAAAATAATAAGGAAAAAAAATCCTGAAACCTGGAAAGGTATTAGTCATGTGTAGGGAATATTTTGAAAATCAAAAATGTTGTGTTTAGGAGTCATGCTGCCACAGCAACAGTTTTGTGAAAACCCTTCTGCTACTCAGTATTCCATATGGAAGCCAGCTCTCCTTTAACCAAACACAGCACCCTCCTCCTGATGCTCCACACCCAGGCTGCTGCCCCAGCTCTCATCACCAGCGTCTTCACACATTTCATTCCAATAAATAAGGATGCACTTGTCCGTTATGTCCTGTCATGGGCAGTACCCAGTACCCAGAATGCCAAATCTGCTCCACCCACCTGCACTGACCTCCCTACCAGGGCCTCTGACCCTGAGGGTCCCAAGAAGGATTCAGGGACTTTCTGCTATTTGCCAGCCCAAGTGTTCTATAATTTGTCTTCTGGCTGAGACCAATAAACCATCAACAGAAGTCATTGCAGGCTGGTCAGAAGTCATCATCGCTGCTATCAAAACCCAGATCATAAAGCGTATTCTTCCCTGGCTCCTTGCACAGAGGGGGCTCTGAACTTCCAAGGTTGAGGTCACTGAACCAGCTCATGCGGTGGTCTCCCTGGGAACTGTTAGAAAGCAGGCTGTTGTCTTGGGAAGAGTGCCTGCTGAACTGCAAGAGGTTCCCTTGTGCTGCCCTCACTGTCTTACTGGGCATGACTGTTCCTCCCAGAGCAGGGCAGACTGGCTTTGTGGGGCTCCTGGGTCTCCTCAGGTGCAGGGGCTGATCAAGCGGTTCCTGCTGCTCCACGGGAAGCCTTTGTGGGCCAGAAACTGGAGGTTGAGGATATTTAGAACTGAAAGCACAGGTTTTGCTTGGGGTTTGTTCTTGTTTCCTGGCCAGGAGCCTACCTCTTTGGACTTTCCTGGGCTGCTGCTTCTTGCCTTTGGCCACTCTTTCTACAGCTCTGCCTTTCTGTTCAGTCACCAACTGTTGTTCACAAGGGTCACACGAAAACAAGCCTTTGGCTTGCAGTTCTTGGCAGGTGTTCTTAATGCTGGTTGCAAAGTTGTTTAAGTCCAGGGATATAAGCTGCGAGGCTCCTGGGGAAACCAGGTCCCTATCACCAGGAACCTTGTGGCCCTGAATGTCCAAACTGTGGTTCTCAGAGCCTGTTTTTGTAATAGCCAAATTCTTGCAGTTAGTTTGCACTGCCTTGTCCTTTACTGGCCTGTTTCTTTTGCCGGTTCCAACTGCCAGCAGCGCAGCCTCTTTTTGGAGGGTATCATTCTTTGCTCTCTCACCCCAGACACCAAACTCCCCAGGCTGCAAGGAGCCCCTATTGAGAATCCGTGCAGCAGGGAGGGCCTGAGCCTGCCACAAAATTGGTTCCTCAGAGGCATATTTGTCCTGCCTGGTGAAATTGAGGCTCTGGGCCAGAGGTGGTGAGGTCTGGGAAGTGCTGTCTTTCACATGCCTGGGTACCTGAGGGACTGAGATCAATCTCTTCAGCTCTGCTAGGATGCTGGGCACATTCAGCTGGCCTAGCTGCTCACACAGCTGTTGGAAGTCCTTGTTCTGCTGGGCAACTAAAACTTCAAGGTGCTTTAGGTTGGACTTCATTTCTGAAAACTCTGCTTGTCTCTAGAGATAGGCAATGAGAAAGAAGAGAGTTACGGACAGGATGCACAATCAAACGTGAACAAACCAAAGGATGTGCCAGCAGAACCAAATCTTGTCCCTTGCTGGGCACTTTATAGGGGAAACATGGCTACACTCTGGAGCAGGGCTCCTAGGGTCCACATCATGTCAGAGAAGCATGGGGAAGGAAGCTGGTCTCTACCCTGGCCTGTTACCAAGGGGGTTGGGCTGGCCTCTGTTCTTGGCTGAAAATTTGCAGCTAAAAGTATCTTTCTGAGTCTTAGTGACACAGCCAAAAACACACTTGAGGAAAGGGGTCGGGGTCTACACTTACAGCTTCAAATCTCTTCTGCATCTCAAGGATGGCCTGCTCCATGTTGCCTTTATCCTGTGCTGTTTCCAACACCAGATCGCTCTGGGCCTGTGCAGTCTCTTGCACTAAATACAAAACAATGACCATTCACCCTATGAAGACTATAGTATGTGGGCCAGCCCGGTGGCCAGCAGTTAAGTGCGTACATTCCACTTTGGCAGCCCAGGTTCTCTGGTTTGGATCCCAGGTGCGGACCTACACACCGCTTGTCAAGCCATGCTGTGGCAGGCGTCCCACATATAAAGTAGAGGAAGATGGGCATGGATGTTAGCTCAGGGCCCGTCTTCCTCAGCGAAAAGAGGAGGATTCGCAGCAGATATTAGCTCAGGGCTAATCTTCCTCAAAAAAAAGAAAAGTAAAATAAAATAAAATGATTATTCTTTAAAAAAAAAAAAAAAAGACTATAGTATGCCCTACCTTGGTCAGGCCACAATGATGGAGAGGGAGGAGCTGGAACCTGGCATGGGCCACCTGAGCCAGCTCTGCTAGAGCCCAGAACTCTATCCTCCCAGATCAGCCCTGATGAGGAGAGGCAGCCAGAAGAGGGTGGTTCCTCCATTGTCTCTTCTTCCTTCCCTCCCTGAGAACATCCTAGCCAGGGCAGACACAACCTCAACCCCTTGCTGGGGACCCTGAAACCTGCTGCCCAAATGATGGCACCAACCTCCTCCTTGGCCTACCTTTTTGGCTCGGTCACTAGTGGTCTTTCTAGAATGTAGATATGATCATGCCCCCTCTGAAACCTACACTGAAACTTTCAAAGTCACCCCACTGACCACTGGATGAAGTCCAAATCTTTAAATTGGCTAACAAGACCCAGGCCCACTTCCCCTTACCCACTATGCTCCTCCGTGTCTCTGAGCTCTGTTTCCTAGGCAATCTTTCTCTCACTGTTGGCCTTTGTGCGTGCCATGCATCCATTCACTTGAAGTACTCCTGCTTCTATCCCTGTCACTCTACCCATCCCCTCAACCACCACCTCAGTCCAACTAATTCTTGTTCTTCCTTCTGCTCTCAGAAGTTACCTCCTTAGAAAATATTTCCTATCTGGCTTGGGCACTCATTCTCTCCACAGGTGGCACTATGTGTGTGCTCTACCATCACTTATCACGCTCCACATATTTATCCCCCCTTTACACTTGGGGTCTGATGGGCTTGGTGACCTGAATGCTAACCACTTAGGACTGATATTGATTCTCCCCTTTTGCACGTGGAGATTTTACACACAGATACATTTATTTAATAACACATTGTGTTGTGATTATTGCCATCCTCTTGCTAAACTACAGATCATGTGAAAATGCTCTTACATTTATTCAACAAATACTTAGTGAACATCTGCTATATGTGAGGCACTGAGCCAGGTGCTCTGGATAGAATAGTGACCAAGATGGCTAAAACCCTCTTGAAATTACAATTAAATAGGGAAAACAGGTAGTTAATGAGTAATTATACAAAGAACTATTTATAGATGTAATTTATAGATGCTCTACAGGAAAAATATAGCAAGCTGAGACTATGTAACAGGCAGATCTAGTCCAGTTTCGGGGGTGAGTTAAGACCTCCCTAAGGAAGTGATATTTAGCTGAATTATCATTAACCTATGGCAGGAAGAATATTACCAACAGAAGAAAGAGCATGTTGTCCAAAGAGGAACCATGAGATTAACATGGCTGAAGCATGGGGAGAGAGGGCATGGTTGCTTGAGAGGAGGACACAGCCAGACAGAGGAGTATTTGGGCCATTTCAAGATTTGATTCACTGACACAGTTAAGCAGAGGGTTAACACGATTACATTTTCTCTTTAAAGGGAACACTCTTCCTGCAATGCAAATGATCAACTGGAGGGGAAAGACTGGACACAAAACCAGAACAGAGATCAGAAATAACCCAAATAAAAACAAAGATTTGAAATTAATGGGAAAAAGATGGATTTTTCAATCATGGCATGGGGACAAACTGATTAGCTATTTATAAGATAATTAACCTGAATTTCTACCACTATCCTGTTAAGAATATCAAAGCTCCATAATATGTTTTAGTTTAGAAACTAGCAGAAGTTCTTTTACTTCTTATTCAGGCTTATTTTCAAATGCCTGCAGAAGAGGACAAAGAATAGCAATGGCCATTTCAAAACCCTTTTTCTGATTTTTTCTACTTTAGAAAATAAAACCTGAGCTCTAAAAGGGGAAAGCACAGAGAAACAATTGTAGGTTCACATACATCAGAAATAACCCACCAGATACTCTTTTTATCTTCTCACAACTACCTAAAGCTTGTTTCAAGATTCTTGACAATTTTTTTTCATTTTAGATGGGTAAAAGACAATTTGGCAACAAGAGACTGCTTAACTCTTCACAATAAAAATGGAAGGCAAACCAGAGTAACATCTGGTGCTTGAAAGACAGGATTACAGACTCAGATTTAGTCTTACTTGAAAACTTGCCTCAACCTGATAGGCGCTTTGTTAGTTTCCTGTGTTCTAACTATTCTGTCTCTTTTGTCCTCCCTTATCAGCCAAGGGCAGGGATTTACCACGGGGTACCTAGTAAAGGTTTTTTTAAGTTCAAGTGATTTAGAGTTTCTCTTTAAAATAATACATAATTCCCTTCTTAAAAGGAGGCTTACCTTTCAGATTTCTTACATTAACATAAATTCCACATAGATTACCAATTTTAGTGTAATTAAATAAATAATAAAAGTACAAGAAGGAAACATGGGGTAAATTGTAACCTTGTAGTGAAGAAGGCCTTTCTAAGCAAGACCTAAAACCCAGAAGCCATTAAAAAAAAAAAAAGGGGGGGCCGGCCCGGTGGCGCAGCAGTTAAGTGCACACGTTCCAGCGGACCGCGGACCGCGGTTCGCCGGGTTGCATCCCGGGTGCAGACAGGCACCACTTGGCATGCCATGCTGTGGTAGGCGTCCCACATATAAAGTAGAGGAAGATGGGCATGGATGTTAGCTCAGAGCCAGTCTTCCTTAGCGAAAAGAGGAGGATTGGCAGCAGTTAGCTCAGGGCTAATCTTCCTGAAAAAAAAAAAAAAAGATGAATTGCGTGTCCTTGTTAAGTTTATTCCTGGGTAGTTTGTCTGCCATGTTGGATTTATAAAGCCATCTGTTTTTTTCCATTACATATTTTATTAATTTCTGTTACCTTACTAAATTATCTTATGATTTGTGGCACTTTTCTGGTTGATTCTCAGAATATTAAGGAAAAAGATGAGACTTGAAAAATGTCCCTAAAGTGTGGGGGGAAACCCAGATAACATATAAAGAATCAAGAAGTAGAATGGTATCTAACATCTCAACAGCCAGATTAAAAGACAATGGAACCATGCCTTAGAAATCTGAGGGCAAAGCATTTTCCACCTAGAATTCTATACCCATGTGGAGACAGAAGACATTTTTCAAACATCCAATGTATCGTGAAAGTTACTTCCCATACGCACTTTCTCAAAAAGCTATGGAAGATATGTACCACCAAACATAAGTGTAAACCAAGGTCCAGAAAACAAAGGGATCCAAGAATGGTAATTAAAAAAAAGATCCTCAGAATGATGGTGAAGAGAAGTTCTAAGATTAGGATTTAAAGAATAATCTTTGCCCAACCTGGAACTGGAAGACTGAGCTCCAGGCAGGACGTCTCTAATGAGAAGATGAAACAAAGACTTCCTCTTGTGTTTGAACAAGTTAATTGGAGATATACAGCTCTATCTGAAATTTATTATCAGACGTTCTGTTAGGAGCATGGAAACAATCTTGAACAAAACTGTCTACCCACATGAATTTTGCAATCTTGAATAGGAAAAAATAAAAATAAACAAGTAAACAAACATGCACATACATAAATGAAAATTGTGAGAAATGCTATGACAGCGATTGTAATAAAAATAAGAGGGTGAGGGGCATCTACTTTAGATAAGGTCATCAGAGATGGAGACATTTAAGGTGAAACCAGAAGGATAAAAAGGAGCTGGCCCTGCAAAGGTTAAGGGGAGATTATTAAGGTAGAGGAAGAGCAAGTGCAAAAGTTCTGAGGCAAGAGAAAGCCTATTATATAGACAAGCCAGTGTGGTCTTGCAAAAAAAAAAAAAAAAAAAAACCACTAAGAAATGGTAAATTTCATGTTCTGTGTATTTAATTACAATAAAAAAGGTAAGAATTTTTTAGAAAGCAAATTTTCTCCTACTTCTCAACATAAGTTAAATTCCACGTGTCAAACAATTGGAAAAAGGCTGTTTAGTTATGTTTCAAATACTGGATTCCTTTCCTAAACTCAGTCAAATATTTTCCCAGACATCCATGTAGATATTTGTAGTAAAAAGCAAATGTAATTAAACAGCAATGTTTCTTAGCAACAGTGAACATTACCAACTGCAAAAGTAGAGAATGAGGAACGCAAGCAAAGTGTTCAATTCTAGATTGAGTGCTCAGAAAGTATTTGTCTGTGGTCCTATGTATTCTTTTCCTGTCCCCTGGGAAACATATATTCGGGGTCTTCTCCTTTTGTATCTCTTTTGTATCAAGCTCATTACTTCCAAAGTCTATCCTTTTTTTTCATTTAAAAAATTTCATTTATGAAGATAACTCAAAATCATAACAGCATAAAGAAGCATACAATGAAAAATGATCGAATTTCTCCCATGCAGACCTTGGCTCCACTTCCTGAATTTAACATTACAAGTAGTTTCTGGAATTTTGCATTAATATATGTACATATCCATGTATAGATGATAGATCTTATATATGTGTGTGGGGGGGGCGTGTGTGTGTCTGTGTGTTCTCTAGAAGGGGACTCATTTCATTTCTGCTTTGGCTATAAACATCAGATATTTTTAGCTTTTTTGTAAAAAAGCCACTTAAAATCCATTTCCATATTCTAGACAATATCTCTGTTTTCTTGTGAAGACGATTTTTTTATTCATTTCTATTTTAGCGATTTGACAGAGCTCCATTGAGATGAGATCAAATTCTGATGCTTTTCCACTGATGGCCAGTGATTTTCCTTTTATTCTGTAGTTTTGCTCTCCTTGCCGTGCTGATGAGAGCCTGAGGAAAGGTCTAGGAGCCTCCACGTACAAGAGGAGATCCCTCAGTCCCCCTTTTTCTTTGGGACATCCTTCCCAATTTTCACTGACTAGTCACACTCCTCCACAAGACGTATCCTGAAGCAAACTATGTGCACATGAGCAGCACCTTGCTGTTTTCATTTAACAATGAAGAGATATTTTCATTTCAACAAGATGGACCTCCTTCTTAACTCTATGTGCTTGGAAAGGCATTTCTCACTCTAAAATTATAAAAATGTTGTCCATGTTTTCCTATAGTTCTTTTTATGATTTAATCACCATACTCAATATATTGATTCATATGGAATTTATTTTGATGCATATTTTCCAAAAGAGACATTTTCTGATTTGTGTGTGTGTGTGTGAGGAAGACAGTCCCTGAGCTAACATCTGTGGCAATCTTCCTATATTTTGTATGTGGAACACTGCCACAGTATGGCTTGATGAGTAGTGTGTAGTCCACACCCAGGATCCGAACCCGTGAACCCCGGGCTGCTGAAGCAGAAAGCACAAACTTAACTACTATGCCACCGGGCTGGCCCCTACATTTTCTGATTTTAATAGCAGCCTCTCCTTTTTATTTTCTTAATGATCACATTTTTCAATAGAACCGATACCTATTAGGTGAAAGTACTGCTCTCTACCAATTAGCCCACCTAAACCCAAGTTACAGTAGGATGTGGATGGCCTTGGTAATTTATTCTATTAGTCTGGTCACTGGTGTCCTCAGCTGAAAAACAAGAGTTAGATTAGATGACTTTGAGTGATCTTTCTGTTTGTACAGGGAGACTGCAACTGGAGAAAGATTTCATGACCTCATTCTCTGAAGGCACTAATTACATAACACAAGAGAGCACTTTCATACAGTATCTTCCCCTTCTCCTTACAAGCATAGTGAGTGCCTGCTGAAAGCCTGCAGAATGCACTGACTGGCAAGTTCAGTACTGTAGGATAGCTGGACTGGGCCTGGCCATATGATAGAGGATTTGTCTAGTTCCTCTTTCAGTGACTAACTTCCTGCTGCTCATCACTACCTACCATGAAAGGGAATGATTCTGGAAAGGCAACTTGTGCTCACTTTCAAGAATGACCTGATTTTCTTTTTCTTTTTTTTTTTTAAAAGATTGGCACCTGAGCTAACAACTGTTGCCAAGCTGCTGCTTTTTTTTTTCTCTGCTTTTTCTCCCCAAATCCCCCCAGTACATAGTTGTATATTGTAGTTGTGGGTCCTTCTAGTTGTGGCATGTGGGACGCTGCCTCAGCATGGCCTAACGAGTGGTGCCATGTCCGCACCCAGGATCCGAACCAGCAAAATCCTGGGCCACCGAAGCAGGGCGTGGGAACTTAACCACCTGGCCACGGGGCCAGCCCGTGACCTGGTGTTCTAATTGATATGATGCCACAGTGTTTGTTACTGTTTGCCCTGTCAATGTGGCTCCCTCTCCTGAGTCTTACCCTCTGAAAATTAAGGAACCATCAGGGGTGAAGGATCAGGATCCCTATACCTACCATAAAACAGACTTAGTTCTAGTCCTCTCCAGGCCTCAATCTTGTGTTGGGGCCTTGGGCACTTCCATTCCCTACTCTGGGCCTTAAATGTCACACCTTTGCTGCAATCCTCCTTTTTGTACTTCACCTAGTTTTAAATGTAGGAAGGAAAAAGAGCGCTTTCCTTGGGCACTTATAAATGAGTTATTCTATCATGTTGTGCAAAGGAAGCATCCCTGATTTGCTTCTGCTCTTTGTCTTTCTACTTGTTTTGAGGGTAACAGTCCTAGGCTTCCAGAACCGGTTTCCAAACAGATGAACAGTTGTCCTCTGTGTGGGATACCCAGGTTGGAAGCCAGCAGACAGTACAGTGCTTCTTTGCAGACAGGTGGGGATTAATTTCTAAGCCACACAGAGACATGAACTTTTGTAAATCATGAGCAATCCATCCTATGACATTTGAATAAGTTTACTTCAATTTGTTTAAAATAAAAAATAAACACACAGACAAATGCAAACAAGTAAAGATGCAGTCAACTTCTTGCTGTTTAGCTGAGAAGCTGTTGGCTCTAGAAGGATGTCCACCTAAGGAGATCTTTGTATTGGCTCTCTTCTGTTTAGTAAGAGCCAGAACCATGGTTTCATCTAAATGTAAATCACTAATCGGCAGAGGAGGGGACTTTACAAACCACAAACTGTAATTGAAATGAGAAAGATGCTATGAATCACTACAAAACAGCTCTCATTGAAACCAAGGCAGCAAGAATAGTAGGTGACTAGAGTATTTCTAACTCCTAAGGGAGTAGTGTCTTTATTTTTAAGTCCTAAGGGAGCAGTGTGTTTATAGACAGTACAGCCAGCAATTCATCTGGGACTCAAGGATGCTACTGATTCACTTCAGGCAGTGAGATGAGAAATCTGGCAGAGCTACCTGCCCTGAAGCAGTGGGGTTACTGGGTGGAGGATTAGCGCTTCACAAAAGGCATCCAGGGACCGGGGGCATTCCCACACAGAAGTGGATCCCACCACCCAGTTCAGCATGCTCCATATCTCTTCAAGGCTAGCCTTATGTACCCATCTTCTCATCTGAAATGCTGTATGGAACCTCACCACTGGCAGAAACCTGACTAGGGTCAGAAAGTTCACGTTCACTGCTCGCCAGTGCCCTCTGCTGATAACCTCAAACACAAGACACTCACATGTCTTGGCCACAGTCTCCAAAGAATCCAAAATGGACTGGCTTCTTGAACTGAGATGTTCCTCAGACTTTTCCACAGATGTCTGCAACTAAGAAACCCAAAATTAAGAAAGAATGCACGGACTGCTGCCTTATTTTACTAACTTGGAGAACTGTCATTTAATAATAAAAAGAGTAGTTAAAATATTGCTATACCACATGAACTAAAGTCAATACAATGTAATTATTAAACTTCTTAATATGTTGTTCTTAAAATCTAGCACAATGTTCTAACTCCTTGATATGTAGCTATACTTACCCTGTAAATGCTTTCTCTGGTATGGGAAATGAAGTTGTACAGAGCTTCACTAGAATAGGAGAGAAAAAAGAAAATAAATCTTTGTGAAATATTGAAAGAATATGTAATAGAATTGATTCCATGAACATGGCACACCTCCACCTAGTGTAGCATCAAAACAGTCCTTGATCAGAGTTGGAGACTTAACTCTGAGAAACGTTCACTAAGGTTGGGGGAAAAAAAGAACATAGACTTTTCATGACTATTTCCAAGGCAAACCACTTTTTTCTTTAAGTTCATTCTCTCTATATTTTAAATGAGGTTAAATTTTAGCAACTCAGTGGTTGCTATAGTAGAACAGACCAGCTTTCATTTTATGGCAACATTGGCTTCAGAAGATAGTGACTTCCTTCTGGTAGTGCAAAATTCCCGGACACATCTTAGTCTAATGACTATTATTTTGATTATAAGAATGAGGCAGTATAGAGACAATTCTGGGAGCAATATTAATTTCTAATGAAAAATAAACTATCGGGGCTGGCTCAGTGGCCAAGTGGTTAGGTTTGTGCGCATCGCTTCAGCGGCCCAGGGGTTCACAGATTTGGATCCTGGGGGCAGACATGGCACCACTCATCAGGCCATGCTGAGGCGGCATCCCACATGCCACAACTAGAAGGACCCACAACTAAAAATATACAACAATGTACAGGGGTGCTTTGGGGAGAAAAAGGAAAAATAAAATCTTTAAAAAAAAAAAAAGAAAAAGAAACTATCATAATTGTTCCTCAAATAAATATCTCACTTTTGAAAAGATTCAGACATGGATTGTCATTAAAAATTTTTACAGGGGCCAGCCTGGTGGCGCAGCGGTTAAGTGAGCACGTTCCACTTCGGCAGCCTGGGGTTCGCTGGTTCAGATCCCAGGTTGCAGACATGGCACCGCTTGGCAAGCCATGCTGTGGTAGGCATCCCACATATAAAGTGGAGGAAGATGGGCACAGATGTTAGCTCTGGGCCAGTCTTCCTCAGCAAAAAGAGGAGGATTGGCAGCAGATGTTAGCCCAGGGCTAATCTTCCTCAAAAAAAAATTTTTACAGATTTTCTTTCTTTAATCTATACAGTACAAATGCAAATATCAATTTTTGAACTTCAATAGGACAACTCTTCACCCCAAGTCTTTCAGATGCTCCACCAGACTTACTTTAAAAGGAGAATTCAATAGAACCATTTGGGAACCTACAAACCATATGCTTTTCATGAAAGAGATTGGGACCTTTCCTGAAAACAAAAATAGCAAAAATGAAAAAAAGTTAATGAATTCAGGATGTTAAGAACAGAATGCTATTAAATTATAAAAGCAGAGAATAAGAAAGGGTACCTAGAAATTAAAAATAGCAGATTAAGCAATTAAGTAGAATGGTTAGAAGATACAGTTAAGTGGGGGCGACTCCGTGGCCGAGTGGTTAAGTTCGCACACTCTGCTTCGGTGGCCCAGGGTTTCCCTGGTTCAGATCCTGGGCGTGGACATGGCACTGCTCATCAGGCCATGCTGAGGCAGTGTCCCACGTGCCACAACTAGAAGGACCCACAACTAAAATATAAACTCTGTACTGGGGGGATTTGGGGAGAAAAAGCAAAAAACCCAAAAGATTGGCAACAGTTGTTAGTTCAGATGCCAAACTTTAAAAAAAAAAAAAAAAACCAGAAGATACAGTTAAGGAAATATGATAAAAAATAGAACAAAAGATAATAGATGGAAAATAGATAAATAGTAAAAAAAAAAAGTATATATATAGAGGATCAATGCAGGAGATCCAACACATACTCAAAACTGGAGATCCAGAAAGGAGGAAGAGTGAAAATAGAGAAGAGATTTTTAAAGATACAAGAAAAGAAAAATTCCCAGAACTGAAAGACATAAATTTATAGGTTAAAAGCAAATAGCCAACGCCCAGGAATTAATGACATGCCACATCAACACACACTACAGTAAAATTTCTAAACTCTATAGATAATGAGAAGATCCTAAAAACTTCCACAAAGAAAAAAGCAAGTGAAATACACAGGATCAGGAATCAGAATGACACCAGACCTCTTAAATGCAACATAGAAAGCAATAAGGCAATGGCACAATGCTTTAGAAATTTTGAGGAAAAAATAATTTCCAATCTAGAATTCTACATCCAGCCTAATTTGCAATCAAGTGTAAGGAGAAAATAAAGAGTTTCAGGGGCAGGTCCGGTGGCACAGTCATAACGTTGGAGCACTCAGCTTTGGTGGCCCAGAGTTCCCTGGTTCGCATCCCGGGTGCTGACATATGCATCGCTTATCAAACCATGCTGTGGCAGGCGTCCCACGTATAAAGTAGAGGCAGATGGGCATGGATGTTAGCTCAGGGCCAATCTTCCTCAGCAAAAAGAGGATTGGTGGTGGATGTTATCTCAGGGCTAATTTTCCTCAAAAAAACCCAAAACAAACCAACCAACAAAAGAATTTCAGATACACAAAGTTTGAAAAAATTGTTTAGATGCCATGCATCTATTGTTTGGAAGTTTCTGGAATATATGCTCCACCAAATCCAAGGAGTAAACCAAGAAAGAAGAGGACACAGGATCTAAGTAACAGAGGATCCAACACAGGAGAGAGGAGGTAGGAAAGCCCAGGACAACAGTAAAGGGAGGATTCAGGATGACAGCTGTACCAAGTTCAGATTGGAATTAGGAAGGATGCCTCTGAGAAGAAAATGACACTGAAAGAATTTCTGATGTGTTTCAACCTGTAACAAGGAACTTTTTCAGTTTTCTGCAGGATTTGGGAATGGACTGTGATTCCTACATAGAAAACTAAGCAAAAAAGAAAACAAAGCAATTTTTAACCTTAGGAAAATGTAATTAGTATACACAATTTTTCTAGGCTATTTATAATGGTTACAAAGTAACAAGGATGTAAAGATTGAAAGCTGATTTAACTAAAAATGTTCACAAAGCTATATTGGGATGATGGAAGATGAGAAGTTTATGATGTTTGGCTTAGGGAGGAGGTAGAGAAGTAAATTCTTACTATAGGGTAGAAAGTCATTCTCTGAAAAAATTAAGAAACGACAATATAAGCCATTTAACATATGCCATAAGGTAGATGGAAGTAAGTGCCAGTATAGCTAAAAGGGTTGCAAGTTAGCTGCAAAAAGGAAAAAGGAATCAAGACAGGCCTGCTGTTTTTCACTGTAATCCTAATTGTATTTTTAAAACACTATGTACACGTAACAACTTGATTGAAAAAAATACATGAAATTTAAAAAGACAATTTTAAAGATGTCTAAAGTCTAATAATACTACCAAAGTACTGCTCACAAAAGCCTCTACTACATTACACACCACCAGTTAGGAATGATTCTTTATTCTCATAACCTCATTCCCTTATTAGCATATTTGGGCACCAATATTCTCAACATTAAATTATATTATACAAATTGAATACCTTTTGTATATAATGTTATATTAAACTTGTTATATATAACTGATAGCTCCCGTTATGTTAACTATTTATTAATCCTCAATTCCACCTTGTCTGAATTGAAACGTCAAATTCTGACTTACCCAAAAGCCTTAAAAGATGTTTAATAGACAGAGTAAAAACATTAAACACTTGATAATTGAAACTTTTATAAAAAGCTACCATACATTTGGATGCCATTTTTATTATTCCTTACCAAAATAAAACAAAATAAGATGCTTAAAAATAGGGACTTCTCGAGGCAGCCCAGTAGTGCAGTGGTTAAGTGCACATGTTCCACTTGGGTGGCCCAGGGTTCGCCGGTATGGATTCCGGGTATGGACCTACGCACAGCTTGTCAAGCCATGCTGTGGTAGGCGTTCCACATAAAATACAGGAAGATGGGCATGGATGTTAGCTCAGGGCCAGTCTTCCTCAGCAAAAAGAGGAGGATTGGTGGCAGATGTTAGCTCAGGGCTAATCTTCCTCAAAAGAAAAAAAAGGGATTTCTCATCCACCCAGACATTATGTACAAGTCCACAGAGTCAATTATGCCCTAATCTCTTCTCTAGAAAAAGTCAGTTGGGAAATTCTGTTCATCTGTATTAAAAAATATATATATATTTTTAAGAAAAGAATTTCTGGGGCTGGCCCCGTGGCCGAGTGATTAAGTTCTCGCGCTCCGCTGCAGGCGGCCCAGTGTTTCATTGGTTCGAATCCTGGGCGAGGACATGGCACTGCTCATCAAACCACGCTGAGGCAGCGTCCCACATGCCACAACTAGAAGGACCCACAACGAAGAATATACAACTATGTACTGGGGGGCTTTGGGGAGAAAAAGGAAAAAAATAAAATCTTAAAAAAAAAAGAAAAAGAAAAGAAGTTCTGTATTGCCCTGTGTTGATGAATTATTTTGCTTTGAAAATCCATTTATTTATTCAACAGCTATTTATTGAGCCCACTTTTGTGACAAGTCCTTGATTACAAGCTTTGGCAATATGGAGTGAAAAAAATTCAAATCCCTACCAGTAGGAAGCTTACATTCTAGCTGGCGTGGGGTCTTTTAAATTTAAAAAAATTATTTTCTTTATCCATTCATCCGCTGATGGACATTTAGTTTACTTCCATGTCTTGGCTATTGTAAACAATGCTGCAGTAAACAATGAGAGTGCAGATATCTCTTCGAGATCCAGATTTCAATTCCTTTGGATATGTATTTAGAAGTGGGATTCTTGGATCATATGGTACTTCTATTTTTAATTTTTTGTGGAACCTCCATACTACTTTCCATAGTGGCTGCACCGATTTACATCCCCGCAAAACAGTGCCCAAGTTCCCTTTTCTCCACATCCTTGCTAACACTTGTTATCCTGACAGGTATGAAGTGATATCTCATTGTAGCTTTGATTTGCACTTTCCTGATGATTAGTAATGTTGAGTACTTTTCATAAAGCTGTTGGCCATTTGTATGTCTTCTTTGGAGAAATGTCTATTCAGTTCCCTTGCCCATCTTTTAATCAGGCTATTTGGTTTTTTTGCTATTGAGCTGTAGGAGATCCTTTTATATTTTAGATATTAACCCTTTATCAGATATAGGGTTTGTAAGTGTTTTCTTCTATTCCATAGGTTGCCTTTTCATTTTGTTGATTGTTTCCTTTGCTGTGCAGAAACTTTTTACTTTGATGTAATCCCACTTGTCTATTTTTGCTTTTATTGTCTGTGCTTTTGGTGTCATATCCAAGAAATCATTGCCAAGGCCCATGTCAAGAAGCTTTTTCCCATGCTTTCTTCTAGGAGTTCTATGGTTTCAAATCTTACGTTTAAGTCTTTAATCCACTTTGAGTTGATTTTTGTGTATGGTATAAGATAAGGATCCTTTTTCATTTTTTCTTTGCATATGGATTCAGTTTTCCCAACACCATTTGTTGAAAAGATTATTCTTTCCCCATTGTGTATTCTTGGCACTCTCTTGTACTGTATTAAATATTTAAAACATAATCTCCAGAAAGATGCATATAATAGAGTACAATGCAACCATTAGAAACGATTTTGTGCATGAAATAGAAACAAAACCATTAAATATTATTAAATTCAAAAAGCAGATTGCAATATAGTCCATAGGAAACAATCCCATTTTTATTTTTAAAAATACACAAAAATAGAGCAGTTATATAAAACAGTGTTAGCGGTAGTTCACAGAGTAAGCTGATTCAGAGGCAGACAAGAATCTGACAGACCCAAGATCTCTGCCCAAAATTCCCACTCAGTTTAGATGTGTTCCCTTGGATGGAGTCCTTCTTGACACCCCCAGTCAGAGCTGGGAGTCGTCCTCAGAGCTCCCAAGGCATTTGGATGCAATCTCTACTACAGCATTTACAACTTTGTACTTAGAGTGGAAAGTCTAGAGTCTTTATTTTAGGCTGTTCTGCATTTGATCCTCTTTTCTGTTTGAGGAGTTCCTTAGGTTAGGGATTTGGGGGAAAAGCAGAGTTTATTTCCTCCTCTAGAGGCCGAGAGTGCCAGGGGCTTGCTTTCTTAGCCTCTCCTGAACCCTAGGCTTTCCCCTCACACATGCCTTGCCAGACTGGGAGTCAAGAGAAAAAGACTGTGAGCTCTCTCTCTCTGGTGGCGGTGGCTAGAGTAGTAGGAAGATGGAGTTCCAGGGGACTGGGAAAAGTGTTCAGGACTACACTGGCTAAGGGGGTAGTAGACAGCAGAATCTGCACTGGACTAATTTTGAGATTTGGCTTGGGGAGTTGTCCATGGCAGGTAGCCCTTGGCAATTGGCAGAATTGTAGCAGAAACTTAAAGTGGCCTCATTTTCTTCCTTGGAAATCAGAATCCTAATTTTTCTTTTTCCCTGGATGTACTGCCACCCAGATAGATGATATTCCTAGATTCCCTTGCTAGGTGTGGTCATGTGAGTAAATTTTAGCCAGTGTGAAATGTAAGCAGAAGTGTTGCATGCAACTCCCAAGAAGAGTCCTAAAGAGACGGGAAGATACTGTTCTTTCTTCCTTCATTGATCAGCTGTCTGGAACTCAGATGTAACAGCTGGAACTCCAGCAGCCATCAAACACTGTGAGGACAGGGGTGTGGTCACACTTCAGGGATGGCAGACCAGAGCATCAGAAGGAGCCAGATTCTTAAGGACCATGGAGCCACCATTCCAGCCCTGGACCACACACTTCAGAATGATTTTTGCATCAAAAAAACCAAACATCTGGGGCCGGGCTGGTGGCAAAGTGATTGGGTTTGCACACTCCACTTTGGCAGCCCAAGATTCACAGGTTTTGATCACAGGCACGGACCTACACACTGCTCATCAACCCATGCTGTTGCAGTGTCCCACATACAAAATAGAGGAAGACTGGTATAGATGTTAGCTCAGGATGTTGAGCAACTTTTCATGTATTTATTTGCTATCTATATGTTTTCTTTGATGAAGTATCTATTAAAATATTTTCCCATTTTTTATTGAGTTGCTTGTTTTTTACTTTTGAGTTTTAAAAGTTCTTTATATATTCTGGATATGAGTCCTTTGTTGAAAATGTAGCTTACAAATATTTTTTCCCAGTCTGAAGCTTGTGTTTTCATTCTCGTATCAGTGTCTGTTGCAGAGCAAACATCTTCCTCTGTGTTACTAGGAAGCTGGTCGTTAAGTAGGAGAGAATGAAGTATAGATGGAGAGAGAAGCACAAGAAAGAGATAGTTTCTGATTTCTTTTCATTCTCTGTCCTTCCCAGATTGGTTAAGAGAGTTAATATATCCTCCTTTTCATCAAAGCTAGTTTAGGGTGGGTTTCTATTTGCTACCAAAAGAGTCATAACAAATACAATCTGAATGATAAAGGATTCTTTTTGAGATTTCTTAACCTCACATGCTACTTCTATAAGTTTGGGAAAATACACACTTTCAAAACTATTGTGTAAATCAATGTTTTACGGGTTTGTGGCATCTCTTATGTTTAAATTCTGTACCATGCCTTATCAATTTCCTGCTTCCAAATTTACAGTAGTATTCTTTCTTTCCCTCACTTTAAAATTTCTCACTCCTTCTCATCACATTTCTGACAAGCACTTATTGACAGAAAACAGGAATCTAAAGTCTTGTGTTTCATTTTTGCCAGAATTTATAAAATTATGATTTCCTGACTATCATATAAGTCAATATCTTAAGTTTGAGTTTTTTTTAACTGGAGATAGAGTCTTCATAGTCCTCACAATTTGTTCTCTCTATATAAATACAACATATTTCTTGCCATATTGTAAACAATTAACAGAAACTCATTTCACTACCAAAAAGAGAAGGAAATGAAATAGAAAAAGGGAAGGAAGGAAGGGAGAAAGGAAGAAAAGGGACTTAATGTTTCAAAAAAAATTTTTTTTAGCTGCAGAAATGTTGATCAAACAAAATACAATCCAAACTCCCAGAGAACAAAAAAATTAAGACTGATCTAAAGCACAAGAGGATGAGGGCAATCTGTTCATCTGTAGTACCCTACCATAGCTATGCTGATCAAGCCATGCTGTGGCAGCATCCCACATACAAAACAGAAGGAGCTTAGTACAGATGTTAGCTCAGCGTCAATCTTCCTCACACACAAAAAAAGGAGAGAATTCATGTGCTATATTCCTGATCCTAAAACAAATAATGTTACCTAATTTCCTAATTCTGATGATCTGAAAAGAAAACAAATTAAATTAAAGGGCAGAATTTTAGGCAGAATAAACATAACACTACTTGAATATTGCATTTCTCTAAGTCCTTCAGCTTACTTTTCAGAGGAGCCAAAACTGTGGCAGCCATATTCAAATCTGCCACAAGTCACATTGACAAGAAAGCAAATAAAGAGTACTTATTAGATGAGCTGTAAAGTCAAATGCTAAAATTGAATTGACTATTGACATTCCATTTTCTGTTTCCCTCAGAAAAGATGAGCTGTCTCATCCTCTCGAAAGGTTTGCATACCTGTCACATCTGTCTTTTGCCCTTTTCTTTTTCTCCTCAAACTGTTCCAAGAGGCCTTTCGATTTTCCAACTGACAAAGGAAGAGGAAATAAGCCTCCATCTTTTTTATCTCCTCCAAATAGTTGAGGTTTTGTCTGGTACTTTGTGAAAACACTAGGTTCACTCTGTCAAGTGAAAAAAAATTACAGCATTTCATACATAAAAATATTTATAGCATTCACTATTTTCTATACAATGCAGAGTCACATTTAAGTGCAAATTATACTAAAAAACAACATAGCATGTAGTATTTCCTTTTTATTTCATATACACCAGAAAGCTATACTAAATAAAGCAATTCTTTTTATTAATATAGTTTCTGCCTTACCAGCACAGGGATATTTAAAATGTCAGCTAAAATGGTTTAAAATCAATTGCATAAATTGAGAGGCAACAAAACAGAGAATTATTTATGTTATCTCTGAGATGATGTGTTAAAGTTTTCATATTAACAAGTTTAACTCAAATTGCTGTTGCTCAGCTGCTGGTAAACTAGAAGTGTTCATAAGTTTGACATGAACTGGACAGTGGGCATGCTGGCACATAGTAAGCCATTTCCTGCATCCTGAGGCAAAACTTACTCTGAAACATTCAGGGAGTAAATTTAATCCTTCATATCACTGGGTACCAATTATTGTACTGAAATGCTTATCTTAGAGCACAGTCTAATAACTTAAAACACTGACCTAACCTTAATCATTAAGTCTCTATTTCATGTAAGTTTGTATATAAATTTAAATCTAGTTCCAGACCAAAATAAGTAAATATATAAAAGTATTTCTGACTCACAAAAGAAGACAGGCTGGCCTCAAAAAATCAAGAGACTCTGAGACTCTGTTCCTCATTCTGGCCCTTATTCGTTAACTTAGGCCTCAGAATACTCATCTCCTTCTTCAAGGAGATAATATAGCATAGTAAACTAAAATCCACAAAGCACTTGAAGTTTCTTAGAAAAGAAAGTCCATCTAAAATAAAATTTATATTACTTTATTTCTATTTTTCTAAAGTTCTTTTTTTCTTATGAAATTTTCAGACACAACAGTATGACTAGTCTTAGAAAATATCATGCAATATTTGGCTCTCCCTAGTAGTGGTCAATGTACTGGCACTATTCTATATAGCTTTAGTAATAGAAGAAACTGCAAATATAAATATTTTTTCCATTTCAGACTACTACATCAAATGAGTCACAAATCAGTTTAGGAGAGTACAAATCCATTTAGGAGACTAATCTGTAGAGATGTACGATTCCAAAATATAATCCAACAGAATGATTCTTCCTTAAAGCTTATCTTCATAATGACTGTGAAATGTGTGCAGAGAAATTCTGGAAATCAGACTCACCTCCAGAGAATTCTGTTGTGACTGTTTGGGACGTCTCAAGTGGGCACCAAAGTCCAAGGGTGCTGACAGGGTCTCTGAACTTTCTGGACAGAACTGGGATCCAAAGAGGAACTGGGAATCACTGAGACTGGAGTGATCAGTCTGGTTACTATTCCAGTTAGATGACTTAGTATTCCTGAAATTAAGCAAGAAAATAAAAATGTATCAAGTGAACAAACATCCTGAAAAAATGAAATTATAATTTACAACTATTCATTTCAGAATATTCCGGGCAGACTGCTAGCTTGTTCTGACCTCCTGGTCCCCTGCATACTGCCACTATTACCTATAAAGAAACACAAGAAAATTTTGAATGCCAGACATTTTGATTACAACAACCTGGAAACAATCAGATGGAAATTCAAACATTAAGGACCAACACCATTATTCCTTGTACAACAGCACTGTGGGCTATACCACCGTTTTGGAGATGAAAGTTCATTAAATCTTTAGGGATTAAGAGAACTATCTTTTCACAAGTCAAATCTGTTCATCACCAAGAGAAGGAATAGGATAAAAAAATATATAGTATTTGCATATAACTGATGCAGTAAACAGAAGCAATAAGTTGGATTTACATATAACCAAGTGAATAAGTCTCAAAAATGTAATTTTGAGTGCAGGAAAAAAGTAAAAATTGAATGAGCTCTATCACACATCATTTATGTAAACTTTTAAACCTATATCATACACACCAAACAAGTATGTAACAGTGTATAGAAGGTGAATTGGAAGAACACACTTTAACTCTCCTAGAGTGTGCCTATAAGGAAGGAAGGGAGCAAGATTGGAGGGAGAGAAGGAGCCATAATACAACAAACACAAGATAGACCTAGTTATGGACTGAATGTCCTCCCAAAATTCATATGTTAAAGCCCTAATCTCTAATGTGATGGTATTTGGAAATGGGTCCTTCGAGAGGTAATTAGGGTTAGATGAAGTCATGAGGGTGGGGCCCTCCTGATGGGATTAGTATCCTTATACGAAGAGATACCAGAGACTTCACCCTCCTTTTCTCTTTCTCTCTCCATCATGTGAGGACACAGTGAGAAGGCAGTTGTCTGGAAACCAGAAAGGGAGCCCTCACCAGAAACCGATCACGCTGGCATATGGTTCTAGGACTTCCAATCTCCAGAACTGTGAGAAAATAAACTTCTGTTGTTTAAGCCGTCTAGGTTATGGTACTTTGTTATGGCAGCTCAAGCAGACTCATAGAACCCTCATCCAGACTAAAGAATATAATCAACTCAGATTTGGGCACAGAAGGATCCATTAAAAATTGTTTTTGAAACAAGGGAACAAGATTTTGTTCCCTTTTACAGTTTTAGTGTCTTATCTTTGTTTGCTTTTAAAACTTCCCACTTCGGACTTCAACTTGCTTCCCATGGATATCTGTGCCAGTCTTTAAGCCTCACATATGAAGAGGATAGTGTTGTTGATACTGACAGAATCACACTTGAACAGTGTACTAAGCCTACTACAGAGACAGCACATAAGTGGGCAGACAAGTAAAACACAGTCTTCAAGTTTTTACTTGAAAGAAATGTCAGTAACAATTTGTGTTACTTAATGTTGTTGTGTAACCTGAGAAAACATGCTTTTCATTAAAACACACACACACAAATCATTCTTTTTCCAAATACTAAATTTAAATTTAATTAGATAGCATATAAGCACATATTCTAAGCCAAAGGAACCATCATATATTAATATAAGACAAGAAGAAACTCTAATAGTTCAGCACAGGGAAGAACAATTATTTTGACCATTTTCTAAGATTAGCTAAGGTAATGTGCAATACGGGTTGCACAATCACTGCTCAAAATTACTAAATAGTTCTCTGTGACTCCCCTCTTAGGTCAAAGAGAATAATTAGCTGAGCTTGGAAAAAAAATAACAGCTCTGTGAGCCTACAGAAATCATGTATGATTTACGTCTTAAAGGTATGATCTGGAATTAAACAAAGATAGATTTTCCCTACTCCGTATCAACTGTAAGCATGTTTTTTCTTTTCGAGAAATAAAAAGAACAATGTTCTAAGTCTTTGCTGAATTAATAACTGCCTTCAGGAAGGTTTTAGGAAGAAAAGAAACTATTCAATGACAAAAACATACCAAAAGCAATTAGAAATCCCTTAAATATATACTACTACTGGGACACACCCACCAACTTAGCAATGGCAGGCCTACTGCGTGGCTGGTGAACACCAATGTAAGTACCTTGGTGAAGTAGTAGAGGGGGCAATATCTCAATGAGCCTTGTCAACAGATGGACAGGCTCCTAACTCCACATTGCCTACAAACTGTAATATACAACTGAACACATATCTGAACATTGTCTTGATTTTGCTCCTTGCTGTTTCAATAGCAACCACTCCAACTGAGGGGAGAGTTTCTAGATGTCGAACCATGTCTAACTCTCACAGGCCTCATAGTCCCTAGGCCCAGTGCTCACACAGAGTCATTGCTCAGTTACCATACATAGTTGAATTGACATTGCTTTTATAGTCAGAAAATAGGCAAAAGGAAAAAGACAAGTATGGAAGGGTGCAGCAGTGACAGGCAAGGTGAAGAGAAGAGGAAGAAGCTATATGGGGTAACTTTATTACTATAAACTAATAGGAAAGGAAGCTTCTCTCTATGAAATCAATATAATTATAAAATCTTCTTAAGTATCAGAATATAAAACCAGATAACTTACCCAGAGCCTGAGGGAATACTGAGCATCTCTTTGATATTCCAGACATTAAAATTCATTTCTTACTATTGTCTCTATTAAAAAGAAGAGAGGAACATCAATTCAAAGGGTTAATATACTATTTTTGTCCCCAAAATTACTTTACTGGTGACTATGATATGTAGATGAGGACATTTCAGCAGTTATAGTCCCATGCAATTGGTAAAAATTACCATTACCTAATATGCCAGAAACAGGTATTTTCTGCTGTTAAATTACATACAAATTCCCCTCTTTCTTAATACCAGGGAAAGCCCAGTCACCTTTGAAACAGTAAATTTGCCTTCCATCCTCTCTGTCTTGTTCTTTTCTTTGCCATCCTGCTAATAATCTGCTTTTAGGAAAAGACCAACAAATCCCATCTTTCATTGTCCTATACAATGAATGACTTAATCTATGACCTCTCCCAAGAAGACTAGTTCTTCCCAGACCATGGGATATTGGAATGCTAAAAGAGCTGTGGAATTCGGGCAGTAAAGAAGCTAAATGAAGAGTATTTGAGCAAGTGACTTCTGACACCTCTTATAAGCAGTTGTACCTGCTTATAATATATCCTGCTCACTGCCAACCCATCACAGTTCACACCAGTTCATTATGATGATCATATAGCCTGGATTTTATGAAACAAGTCCAATTTCTAAATTTTGTCTCCCTGATCTCACAGAACATTCATATTTATCAGATTATATAATACTATTGAGGGCATCAGAAAATGATTCCCACACATATGGTGGATATACTTGATCAAATATCAAATACTACCCCAACATAAATCTAAATAAAAGGAAACCGAAGTTCTGAACAAATACTGACATTTTAGTATACTTTTTATATAATTTAACCTTATTTAGAGAAATCTGTTATATTGAAGTTGTCTAATTTTCTGGAAAAATAGATGCATTTGAGTGTTTATACCCACTCGTTTGGCAAGAATGTTAAGTACAGACCATAGGATCAAGGGGCTAAAGGCGCTACCATTTGTACAACCCCTACTATGTGCCAGGCACAGTGCTAAACATGTTGCAGGATACAAGCTTAATGATTTTGTGAGGCAAGTCTTGTTATCCCCATTTAGAAGTTTGTGAAGACTCATATGGGCTAAATAATTAGTTCAAGCTCTCTCCAATAATTAGAGGTAAGTAGGTTCCATGCTAGATCAGTCCAGTACCAAAGTCCATGCTGTTTCAAGCACACCATGCTCTTGTTTCTCAACACTGGTTCTGTGTTAGGTACTTTCTAGAACCAAGGAGCTCTGTATCTCTCCCTTTATGAGCAACAAGGTAATGACTTGAAAGGGGATGGCTTTAGAGGAACCAGATCAAGGTTCAGATCCTGATTCTTGTATTTATAAACTGTGTGAACTTGGATACATTTGTTAACTTCCTTGAATCTCAGTTTCCTCATTAAATGAAGATAACACCTACCTTTAAGGGTAGGGTCAGGGATTCAAGATCATGAATAGTCTGTGCCTGGATATGGATACTGGCACTTACTAGATGCTTCTTAATTACTTTCTGAGAGACTATGGCTTAACCATTTTCAAACAAATCCATGGTCTCCTAGGGCTTTCCACATTCATCTACTCTCTGTTCAAAGGACTCTCATTTGTAACACATTAAGTCTCTCACATTCACCCTAGCTGAGAATAAAGTTGGTGCAGGGTTGGGGCTAAATACCACAGTTAATTACTTTGTTTCAATTCTACTGAACACAGTTTATATAATTTTTTCTTTGTAGACTATCTTCAAAGAACTTCAATGTAATATTACTTTCCCGTGATGCAAATAAATTAGTAAAATACCACATTGAGATGAAAACTGAAGAAAATTCATTTTAAAAACTGGCGATATTATCTAGATGGGTTCACAGGTGAATTCTATCAAACATTTAAGGAAGAAATTATACCAGTTCTCTACAATCTCTTCCAAAAGACAGAAGCAGAGGGAATACTTCTAACTCATTCTATGAGGCCAGCATTACCCTAATACCAAAACCAGACAAAGACACTACAAAAAAAGGAAACCATAGACCAATATCTCTGATGAACATAGATGCAAAGTCCTCAAAAAAATATTAGAAAATTGAATCCAGTAATATATAGAAATAATTATACACAACAAGCAAATGGGATTTATTCTAGGCATGCAAGGCTAGTTCAACATTTGAAAATCAATTAATGTAGTCCATCACATCAACAGACCAAAGAAGAAAATCATATGATCATATCAATAGATACCAAAAAAGCACTTGATAAACTCCAATACCCATTCATGATAAAAACTCTAAGCAAAGTAGGAAATAGAGGGAAACTTCCTCAACTTCATAGAAAACATCTACAAAAACCCCAAAAACTATCATACTTAATGGTGAGAAACTACAAGCTTTCCCACTAAGATCAGGAACAAAGCAAGAATGTCCCCTCTCCTCTCACCACAACATCATACTGGAGGTCCTAGCTAATGAAATAAAACAAGAAAAGGAAATAAAAGATACACAGATTAGAAAAGAAGAAATAAAAGTATCTTTGTTCACAGATGACATGTCTATGTAGAAAATATGAAAAAATTGATAAGCTCCTGGAACTAATAAGTGATTATGACAACATTGCAGGATAAAGATTAATATACAAAAGTCAATCTCTTTCCTACACACCAGCAATAAACACACAGAATTTGAAACTAAAAACACAGTATTAGGGCTGGCCCTGTGGCATGGTGGTTAAGTTCAGTGCACTCCACTTTGGTGGCCTGGATTTGGTTCCCAGGTGTGGACCTACACCACTCAGTGGTGGCCATGCTGTGGCAGCAACCCACATAAAAATAGGGGAAGATGGCATGGATGTCAGCTCAGGGCAAATCTTCCTCAGAAAAAACAAACAAATAAACCAAAAAAACACCATACCATTTACATTAACAAACCCCTCAAAAAAGAAATACTTAAGTATAAACCTAAGAAAATATGTATGGGATCTGTATGAAGAAAACTGTAAAATTTTGATGAAAGATATCAAAGAAGAACTAAATAAATGGAGAGATATTCATGTTCATGGATAGGAAGACTCAATATTGTAAAAATGTCAGTTCTTTCCAACTTGATCTATAGATTCAATTCAATCTCAATAAAAATTCCAGTAAGTTATTTTGTGGATATCGACAAACTGATTCTAAAGTTTATATGGAGAGGCAAAAGATACAGAAAAGCCAATACAATATTGAATGAGAACAACAAAGTCAGAGGACTGACACTACCCAGCTTCAAGACTTATTATAAAGCTACACAAATCAAACCAGTGTGGTACTGGCAAAAGAATAGACTAATAGATCAATGGAACAGAATAGAGTGCCCAGAAATAGGCTCACTCAAATACAGTCAACTAATCTTTGACAAAGGAGTAGAGTCAATAATAAGGAGAAAAGATAATCTTTTCAACAAATATGCCGGAATAAATGGACATCCACATGCAAAAAAATGAATCTAGATACAGACCTTACAGCTTTCATAAATATTAACTCAAAACGGATCATAGACCTAAACGTAAAATGCAAAGCTATAAAAACTCTTAGAAAATAATATAGGAGAGGGCTGGCCCCATGGCCGAGTGGTTAAGTTTGCACGCTCCACTGCAGGCAGCCCAGTGTTTCGTTGGTTCAAATCCTGGGCGCGGACAGGGCACTGTTCATCAAACCACGCTAAGGCAGCATCCCACATGCCACAACTAGAAGGACCCACAATGAAGAATATACAACTATGTACCGGGGGGCTTTGGGGAGAAAAAGGAAAAAAAAAATAAAATCTTAAAAAAAAAAGAAAATAATACAGGAGAAAATGTAGATGACCCTGAGTTTGGCAATGACTTTTTAAATACAATACCAAAGACACAATCCATTAACAAAAGAATTGATAAGCTGGACTTCATTAAAATTAAAAACTTCTGCTCTATGAAAAACACTGTCAAGAAAATGAGATGACAAGGCACAGACTGGGAGAAAATATCTGCAAAAGACATTTGAAAAAGGACTGGTATCCAAAATATATACAGAACTCTTAAAACTCAACAATAAGAAAACACACAACTTGATTAAAAAGCAAGCCAAAGATCTGAACAGACATGTCACCAAAGAAGATATACAGACGGCAAATAAGCATATGAAAAGATGCTCAACATTATATGTCATTAAGGAAATGTAAATTAAAACAACAATGAGATACCCCTATACACCTGTTAGAATAGCCAAAGTCCAGAACACTGACAACACAAATGCTGGTGAGGATGGAGAAACAGGAACTCTCATTCACTGCTGATGGGAATGTTAAATGGTACAGCCACTTTGGTAGATGCTTGGTAGTTTCTTATAAAACTAAACATACCCTTACCATATGTTCTAGCAATCACGCTATTTGATATTTGCCCGAAGGAGATGAAAGCTTACATCCACATAAAAACCTGCACATGGATATTTATAGCAGCTTTATTCATAATTGCCAGAACTTGGAAGCAACCAAGACGTCCTCTTCAGTAGATGAATGATACTGCTTCAGCGGCCCAGGGTTTGCCGGTTTGGGTGCCAGGTACAGACATGGCACTGCTTGGCAAGTCATTCTGTGGCAGGTGTCCCACATATAAAGTAGAGGAAGATGGGCATGGATGTTAGCTCAGGGCCAATCTTCCGCAGCAAAAAGAGGAGGATTGGCAGCAGATGTTAGCTCAAGGCTAATCTTCCTTAAATAAATAAATAAATAAATAAATAAACAAAGTGTGGTACATGCAGGAAATGGAATATCAATAATTCCACTGATAGAAATGAGCTACCAAGCTATGAAAAGACATGGAGGAAACTTAAATGCATTTTACTAAGTGAAAGAAGCCAACCTTTTTCTTTCTTTCTTTCTTTTTTTTTGAGGAAGACTGAATCACGAAGAAACAGAAATCTGAACAGACCAATTACTAATAAGGAGATTGAATCAATAATAAAAAACCTCCCAAGAAAGAAAAGCCCAGGACCAGATGGCTTTACTGGTGAATTCTATGAAACAT